TGTGTGTGTGTGTGTGTGTGTGTAATTATGATTGCTTATTATCACTATTAATACTACAGCTGCTGGAATTGGATGAGATACAGGATACAACCTTCCCAGTCCAACAAATGGTTAAATAATTTAATACAGTAAAACTAATTTGTTATTATTCTTAAAAAATGGCCAAATATGGAGATCTGAAGTTATGCTTATCAAAGATGGACACAGAGCAGCTTTTAAAACATGCTCTTTTCTTAGTTTTCCTTGGTTTGTAACAGTACCCAAAGGGCTGTTGCTGGTTTCCTCTTAGAATTCGTACATAGCAAAAACCTTCAAGATACTTTCAGATCAAGTTGAAGTTGCGAGAAGACATTATGTTTGCATTTGTGAAAGTTTTGTGCAGAAGTCTTCTGCAAGTTAACTGAGTGCTCTGCATAAGAAATGCATATTTGCATACTGACCAAACAAATTAAATAAAAAATAAACAAAGGAAATGGTATATGACAAATGGCCTACTAGATAAAGGCAAGTCTGAAGCCCCAAAGCTCTCATTTTGAGCACTCCAACAGTCGAGGAGTCGCTTTGTTGCTGGATTTATTTTACATTCCTTTGCGGTTGTTTTGTGTTTCTTTGTCATCCTTATTTTTCTCTCTAAGAGTATTTTGTAGGTCTGTCATTTCAGGGCTCTTTGGTTTCACTTTGGTGTCTCTTCAAGATCAAACTGTGTCTGTTTGTAGTTTTGTAGCCGCACATCTTGATTGGAGAGTCCTTTCATAGAGTCTCAAACTGATCCGCTCGCTCGCTTGCATTCTCTTACAGTAATTCCCCTGCCATTGCCTGAGTGTCTGAAGCCATTAACTGAACTCCATGAATCTAAATTGAACCGCTAGTGAATCGTCCACCGGCGATTCCACTTAAAGATCAAAGGATGCCTCGCCGTTCTTCTAAAGGCAGAGTGTACTTTATTGTCCAACGTCAGATATGGAGAAAAAGTGTTTTCCTGGATGAACTGGGTTTTGATTGTTGTTGCAGTTCAATGTGCAACATTGAACATGTGGCAAAAAACATGAGTTAAGAACATATGGTGAAGTTAGTGAGGCTGGGCATGGGGCCGAGCGGTGGCGCCAGGAGAAGGAAGCCAAGTCATGTGTGTTTCTATGAGGTTGAATAAAAGACTTACATACTATCACAAATTCTCCAGTCCAAAGAAAATGAAGCCCAAACTGGTTGATAAACTGAATCTACTAAGCATGAAAAGTGATTTTTCTGGAGCATTAGCCAGTCTGTATGGTATATTGAAAAATCAGTGGCAGCATTTTTGATTTTTGTTTTCTCTTTCATTTTTCATAAGCATACATGATGTTTTTTGGCTACGCTCAACTGGATATTACATTTTTTTCCTCCTAAACTCAAGCCAAATTTTTCAATTTCCTGTGCTGCTAACTGGTTTATCAAAGTAGTTCCAGAAGAATCAACAGACGGTAAAAAGCGCTGAGTTTTGTAATTAGCCAAAATGAAGGAGTAGCTAGCTTTTGTGATGTGACTACTGAAGATACAGCACACTCTGTGGCTTTTCTTCTAAATAAATCCTGCATAGTATTGTTAAGAAATTCTTATTGATCTTTACTTGCTATTTCTGTCCGTCATAGGGAAGTATTTTTGGCGGCTAACTCGAGAGAAGCACCTAGTATCTCTCCGTCCTGCTCAGATTCATCGTTTCTGGAGGGGCCTTCCTCCTAATCTGGACAGTGTGGATGCTGTGTACGAGAGACCAGGGGACCACAAAATCGTGTTTTTCAAAGGTAAATATATGTAACTTTATTCGATTACTCAGTCTGTGTGTTCACAAGTTGTTTTTTT